CTTGAGCTACCAGCACCAAGCCAATAATATGAATCTTTAAATGCAGTAAAATAACCTAGAAACCAGAAAGTTTTTTTTAAAAAACCCTCTGGTAATCTGTAGTCTTGGAGCCACACTGGGTTGGTGGTACCCTGGAGCACACCAGACTGGCAGAAAAAGCAGACATCAGAGGAAGCTGAGGGATACCTGCTCAAGCGCCAGTGGTTCCATGTGCAATTTTCCTCTAATAGTTCTTAGGTTCATTGATTTCAGCTAAATCAGAGGGACAAGCATCATGAACAGAAATGTATAGAAGGGCTGTTATGCTGAAGTATAAGTTTGAGAAGTCCAGCATCGGGTATACTTAATGATAGAGAATATATCTATTAAATTCTTTCCAAAAAAAAAAAAAAAACTCTCTGGATCAGGAGAAAAGAGGAAAACTTAAGCATCAATTGAAACTTAAAAACAAATTATTCCGGAAACAGCATAACAATGACCTTCTATTTACCTTCAAATTACCTTCAATTACCTCCAAAGCTCAGCAATCAGAATTCCAGGGGAAAGTTGAGGTTTTAATTAATGCAATAATCAATGAAGTGTGTAGACAGCATCTTTCATACAAAGCACTTCACAAATTTCACAGATTGAAAAATTATTGTGACTTTTCAGAGGGCAAAAATACCCCAAAAAATAAATAAAAATATTTATTAAAAAAATAAAAATGCCAAACATTCGGATAAAACATTTTAAAATGTACTTACATGTGTATGCACAAATATATATTTAGCATTGTGTTTTCCTTAGGCGTTTTGGACATCATTAGATAAAACCATCTTCTTATCGCCTTAAAGGTCAAAGCTGTCATCTTGAAGAAAGCCTAGTTCCCACTCTTCTAAACCCTGTGCCCTTCTGCTTATCCTACAACTAAACAACCAATCTCCTGATATGTTTTAACACTGAATTAAACTGTAAGTGTTTTCTGTTAACACCTTACATTGTTTTTTCCCCTGCACTTTTTTTTTTTTAATTTCAGATGAACATGAGGGTACAACAGTTAAGTTACCGTGCTTGCGTTTGCTGGGTAAGGTCCCTGTCATAAGCTGCCCCTCACCTAGGAGGTGCCATGTACCTTTACCCTGTGTCCGTGTAGGTGACAGCACACCAATCCCCTTCCCTCCCACCCCTCCGCCCCCACTAACGCCTTACCTCTTAAATAACAACTCTTCTAAAGGACATAGCTATTCTATTACTGAGATAGCTGACAAATATATTTGACTGTAAATGTCAAAGGTCATTTTTTGGGTAGCTTTTCACAGCAACTCGACTGCTGATAGTTACTCATAGCTACACTAGCAATCTCAAATTGTTTTCTACCAGCAGGGGAAATAAGCCCTTATCACGTGCTTACAAAGAGATGACAGATTCAATTTTTTTTTTGATCCCATCGGATTCTCTTTTCATTGAGAAAGATGCCACATAAACAATTTCAACAGTCAGAATTTTTAGTTAAGATAACCAAGGTCTTTCTCAGCTAGCCTCGCATTTCATACGCGGCACAATGAAAGGGCGAGATTACAAATAAAATTTAAAGTGTCTTTCATCAAAGTTCAGACATGAATGTCTACCACTTAGCTCTAATTATCGAGGGTCTATGAACAAAACCGAATATTTACATTAGCAAAAAAGGTCTAACCAGGTTTTTAACTCAAATGGTTATCAATTTGCCTTTAGTTCTAATACTATCCTATTAAATAAGCATCATTCAATTAAGAATACTAAAAAAAAAAACAAATAGTACTAGCTAACAAAATTCTCTAGTGTCAGAGATCATAGGACTCTCCTCTCCATGGTCTATTTTCCCAGTAGGAAATGCAGGCAGTCAAGAAAACCAAAGGTCAAATTTCCGAAAGCATCCTATTCTTCGTATGCCAGCTGCCAGAAGCCCTGGTGCTTTCTGGTGTCAGAAAGCTGTCCTCGAATGTTGATATTCTTTTCAGCCTTTCCCATGGTAAACTAACTCCCTTAATCTTATGCTTCTTTTTTTTTTTAATTCTCTTATCTAAAATGCACATTTAAAAAATAAAAAAATAAATGCCCATTTTTCCTTTTTAACTGCTTCAGAAATTGAGGCGCGGACTACAAGGATGTTTTCACAATTGCAATGTTAACACTTGGGATGATAAATGTGGCAGAGATGTGTTAGCTATCCTTTCTGAAAAATCCTTCACCAGTTCTCTTTATCACCACTACATACAATCATTCCTGGAATGTAACATTACAAGAACAGTTTGTAGAATGAAAGGTACCCCTTTAACCAACGAAGTTAGAATAGTAAGACTGTCGTGGTTATCTTAACCAGCTTACTGCTCCTTCTGTTACCAGATGCTTGAATGTCCTCTAATATTCCCTTAGTTGGGTTGTAGAGCCATTTCCAATAATATGGAGGTTATTCTTTTCCATTTCAGAAAAACTCATGGTTAAAAAGCTTTGCCCCTTATAAATGTAGCAGAACTCAAATTTCCTCTTTCAGCCCCTGGTTTAGCTTTCTGGGAACACACAGGATAAGTTAGTACTCAGCTGCTCCCACTCAGTTCCCTGACCATGGTGAGAGCTTTCTTCTAAATCGGTTTTTGTTTGCCTATGGAGCAACAAGCCAGGCACAGTGGCTCATGCCTGTAATCCCAGCACTCTGGGAGGCCAGGCAAGAGGATCACATGAGCCCAGGACTTTGAGGTTGCTGCGAGCTAGGAGGCCACGGCGCTCTACCCAAGGTGACAGAGTGAGAGTTTGTCTCAAAAAATAAAAAATAAAAATGTGGCAATAAACACTCAGCCTGGTAGTGCAATGAGATTCCTTTGTATCCTCCTAACATTTCTGGAAGACAAGTAGCTACAATGCATTTATGTTCCCCCCTTTACAGACAAGATCCAAGGCACAAAGAATGAGAAAAAATATAAAAGTCAAATAACTGCCCAAGGGCACAATGTCAGGGACACATTAGGAGAAGCAAGATTCACCTCTTCAGTTTCATTACCATTTCAGAGAATTTAAATCATGCTTTTTTGTTTGGTTGGTTGATTGTTTTTGACAGAGTCTCACTTTGTTGCCCTCAGTAGAGTGCCATGGTATGACAGCTCATGGCCACCTCAAACTCTTGGGCTCCAGTGATCCTCTTACCACAGCCTCCCAAGCAGCTGGGACTACAGGCACCCATCACAACATCTGGCGATTTTAGAGATAAGGTCTCCCTGTTGCTCAGGCTGGTCTTAAATTTCTGAGCTCAAGTCCACCTGCCTCAGCCTCCCAGAGTGCTAGGATTACAGACATGAGCCACATGCTTTTAAATGTCCTCCTACATAGATTATAGATATTAGAAGGCTAGAACTAGGGCGTGGCACCCATAGTTCAGTGGCTAGAGCACTGGCCACATACACCAGGGCTGGTAGGTTTGAACCTGGCCTGGGCCTGCTAAAACAACAACAACAACAACAACAACAAAATAGCCAGGTGTTGTGGCAGGCACCTGTAGTCCCAGCTATTTGGGAGACTGAGGCAAGAGAATTGCTTAAGCCCAAGAGTTTGAGGTTGCTGTGAGCTGTGACACCACAGTACTCTACCAAGGGCAGCACAGCAAAACTCTGTCTCAAAAAATAAAATAAAAATAAAAAGAAGGCTAGAACCAGAAGAAATTTAGATCCAACTACTAATCAAATATCAAGACTACTTTTCTAGGGACACAAGATCAAACACAGCCCTCTCTATTATTCCAGTTCTCCTGCCCTACCCTATCTTTTAAATAAAGCGTTCCATTTTTCCCTTTAGACGAAGTGTTTAACAAGGAAATTAGCGTCTGAGAGGCACAGGTGAATTGCTGACAATACAGCTAAAACAACAAATTCAATGTCCAGCATTAATTAACTTTCCTTGAAAGGTCAGTTATCCTTAAGTTGTAGAAAAATATACATAAATCTATTTTTACCTTGTGTATTATATGCTACCAAATGAACATGTAGAGACAAAGGGAAGAATAGCCTTTCGTGTCATTGCTACTTTTTATTTTAAAAGTTTGTGCCAAAATGATTGAATCGGGGCCAGACTCGATGGCTCACTCCTGTAATCCCAGCACTTGGGAGGCCAAGGCATGTGGATTGCTTCAGCTCACAGGTATGAGACCAGCCTGAGCCAGAACAAGACCCCCATCTCTGAAAAATAACCGGGTGTTGTGGCTGGTGCCTGTAGTCCCAGCTGCTCGAGAGGCTGAGGCAAAACCATTATTTGAGTCCAGGAGTTTGAGGTTGCTGTGAGCTATGACACCATGGCACTCTACCAAGGGTGACAAAGTGAGACTCTCTCAAAATAAATAAATTAATTAATTAAATAAAATGATTGAATCTAACATACTCCAATCAAGACTTTTGTTTCATTACTGTAAAATACCTAGCTTTTGCTATAAAATGACCAGGGCCCTAAACACAATCATTCATTTGAAGTAGATAATAGAGCTAAATATCAAAGTTGAAGCAAACAGACTTTTGGAGGAAAACACAATGGCATATTTTCATGGCATTGGAGTTGGTCAAGATGTCTTCAATAGGGAATAAGGAGCACTTAATCACAAAAGGGGAAAAAAGAGAAATTATTATTCATTAAATAAGAATTGTAGGCCAAGTGTGGTGGCCAAGGCAGTGGATTGCCTGAGCTCAGGAGATCGAGATCAGCCTGAGCAAAAGCAAGACCCTGTCTCTAAAAAAACAGCTGGGCATTGTAGTGGGTGTCTGTAGTCCCAGCTACTCCAGAGGCTGAGGCAAGGCAATCGTTTGTGCCCAAGAGTTTGAGGTTGCTGTGAGCTATAATGCTACTATACTCTACAGAGGGCAACGAAGTAAGACTCTATCTCAAAAAAAAAAAAAAATTCTATTTAATTAAATAGATTAGGCTCACACCCTTAGCACAGTGGTTACAGCGCCAGCCATATATACCTAGGCTGGCGGGTTCAAACCCAGCCTGGGTCAACTAAAAAAACAATGACAACTGCAACAACAAAAAAATAGCAGGGCATTGTGGAGGGCACCTCTTTTCCCAGCTACTTGGGAGGCTGAGGCAAGAGAATTGCTTAAGCCCAAGAGTTGCTGTGAGTTGTGACACCACAGTACTCTACCGAGGGCAACATAGTAAGACCCTATCTCAAAAAACTAATAATAATCAAATAGATTTAAATAAACAAACTATAGACTGGGAGAAACTATTTACAATACACAGCTGACGGCTCGGCACCTGTGGCTCAAGTGGCTAAGGCGCCAGTCACGTACACCTCAGGTGGCGGGTTCCAATCC